GTGGTTTCTTGTACTCATTCGATAGAAAAAGTGGAGTTCTAGCGAAATAGTTAGGATTTTTGTCGACTAGTACACTGGAATTGGCTGAAAATAGGGCTCAAAGTGGGCAAAATCACCGATGCGTAAACATCGTCAAGACCGCTAACTTTGCGAGAGCATAATTCCATAAGTTTTCCATCAAATTTCATACTTTTGGTGTCATTATGATCAGGAAAAGATTCTCTGTCTTTTCATAAGAAAAAAATAATTTTTTTTTTAAATTTGGGGGACCCTGAGAACAAGTCTTGGAGAGGGCCTGTGGACCCTGACAGGGTTAAGAGTAAGACGGAGAATAGGATAGCAGATGAACAAGGAGGCTTTAGGAAAGGTAGGGGGGGTGTGGACCAGGTGTTTACAGTGAAACATATAAGTGAACAGTATTTAGATAAGGCTAAAAAGGTTTTTGTGGCATTTATGGATTTGGAAAAGGCGTATGACAGGGTGGATAGGGGGGCAATGTGGCAGATGTTGCAGGTGTATGGTATAGGAGGTAGGTTACTGAAAGCAGTGAAGAGTTTTTACAAGGATAGTGAGGCTCAAGTTAGAGTATATAGGAAAGAGGGAGATTATTTCCCAGTAAAAGTAGGCCTTAGACAAAGATATGTGATGTCACCGTGGTTGTTTAACATATTTATAGATGGGGTTGTAAGAGAAGTAAATGCGAGGGTCTTGGCAAGAGGCGTGGAGTTAAAAGATAAAGAATCACACATAAAGTGGGAGTTGTCACAGTTGCTCTTTGCTGATGACACTGTGCTCTTGGGAGATTCTGAAGAGAAGTTGCAGAGGTTGGTGGATGAATTTGGTAGGGTATGAGGATAAAAAGGTTAGGTGATGAAAGATTGGATATCAGATTGGAGGGAGAGAGTATGGAGGAGGTGAATGTATTCAGATATTTGGGAGTGGACGTGTCAGCAGATGGGTGAATCATAGAATTGATGAGAGGAAAAGGGTGAGCAGTGCACTTAGGAGTCTGTGGAGACAAAGAACTTTGTCCTTGGAAGCAAAGAGGGGAATGTATGAGAGTATAGTTTTACCAATGCTCTTATATAGCATTTATTGTGGTGGAGATGAAAAAAAACTAGAAAAGCTAGATACAGCGATTGATAAACAAGGGTTGAGGCTCGACCGTTTGTCATTGTAGGAGCTGCCAGAAATCACCGGTTCTTCAACACGCAAGTTATACTTTTGTATCAATCAAATCACATATTACTTGGGTAGATAATTTCAGATCCTTCATGTGTTAGCCCAAATCACCGACCAGTATGTTTTAAATAAGTGACCCACTGATCAGATCAGATCGACTGGTCCAAACCCTTGACTGGTCCAAACCCTTGACTGGTCCGAACCCTTGACTGGTCCGAACCCTTGACTGGTTTCAAACAGATTCGTTGGACAATAAAGCAGACTGTAAATGGATGGGGTTGTAGGCGCCCTTATCAAACACAAACAATAAATATAAATCAGGAACATACACGGTAAGCTGTCCAATATACAAGTACAGTTAGAAATAGAAATACAAATAGCTAGAGCTTCATTTAAGGAGGTTATTAATAGAATATTCAGTAGGTTGCTAGTAGAATTACAGTAAATCAACCATTCAAATCATTATGAAGCCCTGTGTAGTCTGCGGTCAATCAAACAAACGGGCTTCCACATGGATAAATTGTCATTTTTGTGGAAATTGGTGTCACGCCCCTTGTGCAGATATCCAAGAACTAGCTACAAGCAGTATTAAAACAGGGAAGTGTTTTTGGGTATGCCCAAATGAGATAAATCTGTGGACTAAAATCACAAGGGTATTAAAAGAGGACAACATCAAAGCTGCTTTCATAGACAACCTGGAAGCTTTCTACAACAGATGGGAACATAAAAAGTCTGGGCTGAATGGTACTGCCCTTGATACTGGCCATGTAGTCAGAAACTGTAAGGCTGGAGGTGATGTCCTGGTAGTCAGTAAATGTGGGGCCGATAGTGCTGTCCTGGGAGACAGTAATGGTGAAGCTGGAGGTGCTGTCCTGGGAGACAGTAATGGTGAAGCTGGAGGTGCTGTCCTGGGAGACAGTAATGGTGAAGCTGGAGGTGCTGTCCTGGGAGACAGTAATGGTGAAGCTCGAGGTGCTGTCCTGGGAGACAGTAATGGTGAAGCTGGAGGTGCTGCCCTGGGAGACAGTAATGGTGAAGCTGGAGATTTTGTCCAGGTAGTCGGGAATTATACGCAGGAAGGAATACATATAAATGACCTCATAGGGGACAGGAGCCGTAGTAGGGAAACAAGTGTAGTCAAAGATAAGATAAAACCAATATTGCAAACTAGAAATACCACAGGAAATAGCAAACAAGAGGACTCCACTAGCAATAGTGAGGATATATTACCAAAAACAACTGGTGGGAGCTCCATTGTTGGTGCTAGGGAGGATAAAAATAAGACAGGGAAACATGCACCAACAGGGAATACAGTCACAGAAACCCAAGGCAAACGGAAACCAAGCCTGTGCACATGCTATTCACTTGGTATCTGCAGACATGGGAAATCTGGAAAAACAGACGGGACGTGCAACTATGACCACCCTAGAAAATGCCATGCCCATATGACAACAGGAAAATGCAAACTCCCTTCCTGTAAGCTTTTTCACCCTGAACTGTGTACCTCTTCAGTACAGGAAGAGGTACACTGTGCTATAACTTAAATTGCCAGGCACACCATCTGAAGGGGACAAAAAGATACAAAACATCCAGGCCATGGGAAAACCTGGGTAGCCACAGCCACTCAAGAGGGAGAGGTTTTTTAGTGCCAGGAAGGAAAAAAAACTGGCAGGAAATGGCAGAAATCGTACACCAAATCCAGTCATTCCTGGAGTGGAACCACAGTCGATGGCCTCCACTCCAAACCAACAGATACAGATACTAATGCGGGAAAAAAAATCCCCCCCTAGTACCAACAATACCACCAGTCCGATGACATTCTTCTTTGCAAATATACAGGGTCTAAAGCCAGCAACAAACAACAAAATACCTTTCATCCGTGGACTGCTTGCTGAGGCAAAGGCAATGTTCGCGGCTTTCACTGAGACCCACATAAAGGATCACTTGGACAACGAAATATGGATCCCAGGTTACAACCTATACAGATGTGACAGTGAACAGGCAAAGGGGGGGGGGGGGGTTGGCCTGTACATTGCAGAGTCACTTGTTTGCACAGAACTGCTTAATGCCTCAAATGATGTAGTGGAAGTTTTAGCAGTAAAGGTCGAGAACCAAAACCTAGTCATTGTGGTAGTCTACAAGCCTCTGGATGCAACATACCAGCAATTCCAGGAACAGCTGTTAAAAATTGACCACTGTCTGGAAAATCTTCCAGCTCCTGCACCCAACATCTTGCTCCTGGGGGATTTCAACTTAAGGCACCTAAAATGGAGGAATATAGCAAATAATATTGTTGCAGTAATAACACCAGGAGGCAGCTCTGATGAAAACTCACACTCACACGAGCTTTTAAATCTCTGCACAAAATTCAATTTAAACCAGCAAATAATAGAGCCTACTAGACTGGAGAATACACTAGACCTCATCTTCACTAACAATGATGATCTGATAAGAAATGTCACCATATCAAAAACAATATACTCAGATCACAACATAATTGAGGTTCAGACATGTATGCGTGGAGCCCCAGACCAACATAATGAGACTAGTCATGAGGGACCACTGTATATATATTTATTTATATGTTTATATATATATATTTATATACACATAAAGGAGCTTTACAGAAGAGTGGAGTGTAAACCAGCCTCTATTAGACTCCTTCAGGGTTGCGGCCTTGGCTCTCAGACTTGCTCCCGGGGTTGAATAATTTAAAAAAAAAAATCTTTTTTTTTTTTTCCTATGAAATGATAGAGAATGTTTTTCTGGAGGTAATGAAACAAAAATTAAAAAATTTAGTGGAAAATTGACAAAATTAGGCTTTTGCAAATTTTACCGCCATGGCAATATTTACACACCAGTGGTTTTTGTCCACTTTGAAACTTATTTTAGGCCTGTTGTGTTGTTCTAGTTGACCAGATTCTTCATTATTTTGCTAGTATTCCTTCTATTTTATCAACTAAGTATAAAGTAATGCCCATTCAACTATTTAAACTACCCAATTAGGTGATCAAAAATCGGTAATCTGGCCATTTTCACAAATTCAGGAAATGCCAATTTCAATTCGGGTTTAGAATAAATAATGCAGACATTGCTGGCACTAAAATAACATTTTCTCTGTTCATTAGGCATATCTCCAGGCCTCCCCAGGCCTCTCCAGGCCTCCCCAGGCTCCCCAGGCCTCTCCAGGCCTTTCCTGGCCCTCTCATATATTACGCTTGCTTTCCAGTTTGAATTTTTATTCACACAAATAATAGATTTACTGTTATGCAGACAACTGCATTAGTGTATTAATTGTATAAATAATGTCAGTGTATTCCTAAATGTGCATTAGACTGGCCAGTTGGACGTGGACAAGTGTACTCCAGAATGTCAGCAAAAATCGAACATTTCCGCTACTTTGAGCTCGATTTCAAGCTACTTTTAGTCCTGAAACCAGTCAGAATCATCTCAATATCTGTAATATATCTTCCAGTCTGTCAAATGAGACCAAGAAACCGAGAATGCAACCATATGAAAATTGCAAATTTGCTGTTTTAAACCAAAAACTCTGTCGTGGTTTATCTCATTATGCACTGCATGCTGCAGGATTTTTTTAATATGGTGCACACTTACCACATAGGCCTATTCTCTCATAACTAAGCCTAAATTTACTGCTCACAGCTTATCTGTGTGAGCTGAGCTCATGGCATTATATTACAGGACCATCACTGGGAATTTTAATATTTGATATGTTTTAGGCCTACATGGAATTTAAATATGTTCTTAAGCCTACAGGCGATTTTTTCGCAACATTCTTATTGGTCAGTTTTTTCCAGGTTGTGGTACTAAGCTGGAGTGAGGACCAGGATTGCTAGGTACTGGTACTAGGCTGGAGTGAGGACTAGGATCACCAGGTACTGATACTAGGCTGGACTGAGGACCAGGTTCACCAGGTACTGGTACTAGGCTGGAGTGAGGACCAGGATCACCAGGTACTGATACTGGAGTAGCAGCTACCAGTGGCATTAGGCTGGAGTGAGGACCAAGATCACCAGGTACTGGTACTGGAGTAGCAGATATTAGTAGTACTAGGCTCCAGCAAAGACCTGGTACTGGAAGTACCATCTGTTCCACCAGTACTTTCTACCACACCAGTACCATCTACTCCACCAGTACCATTACTACACCAGTACCATCTACTACATCAGTACCATCTACTCCACCAGTACCATCTACACCAGTACTATCTACTCCACCAGTACCATCTACTACACCAATACCATCTACTACACACCAGTACTATCTACTCCACCAGTACCATCTACTACTCCAGTACCATCTACTACAGTACTATCTACTCCACCAGTACTATCTACTCCACCAGTACCATCTACTACTCAATTCTAAATCGATCGCTCAAACTCGGACCCCAATTTCACTTTTCTCCAAGGATTCGACTGGTTACAAATTCCTGTCAATGCACATCACAAATATTTGACTCTACTTTTGTGTACTGTACTATATACATCAGAATAATTGTTATTGTACTCATGTACTCAAATATTTAGCACAAAGCAACAGAAATAGGGATAAATATTGCAGATTTTGGATTCTGTAATTTTTGTGTGTTCAAAATCGATTTTCGTCAATACAGACATTGTTTGCCGTGGGTTCAGTCATCAGTTTTTGTGTATTGAATCATCAATTTTGTATATTCAGTCATCAATTTTTGTGCATCTTATCACCATTTTTTGCAGATTTTATCATCAATTTTCGTAAAATTTATCACCAGTTTTTGTGGATTTGTACATCAGTTTCCATTGCTTGCCTATTTTAAGGAATTATTTCTCTATATTCACACCATTGATGACTTTCGTGTTGCCATTATTCTGTGTGAAATAATTGAATGTTTGACTGACGAAGAGATAAGCATATGCATTCGAAACATGCGTGTGTACACAGATAAGAAGACGTACAGGTGCTCCGAGTGTCTGAAATGCTTCCCGCAGAAGCACCACCTGCTGGCGCACAGGAGCGTACACACGGGCGGTAAGCCATACAAATGCACCGTGTGTGCCAAGGAGTTCCTGTACACCTCACATCTCAAACGCCACCAGAAGGTGCACACAGGGGTGAAGCCGCACCAGTGCCCAGTGTGCGCAAAAAGCTTTGCAGAAAAACAGGATCTGGCCAGACATGAGAGAGTTCACACAGGGGAGAAGCCATTTCAGTGCCCTGTTTGTCTGAAGGAATTCTCCGATGGCTCGTACCTCACCAAACACCAGCGCATCCACACAGACGACCAGTCCTACCGGTGCTCCGTGTGCTTGAAGGTGTTCGTGTGTAGCAACACCCTCAAAATCCACACGAGGATCCACACGGGGGAGAAACCGTACAAGTGCTCGCTGTGTTTGAAGGATTTCACTGATATTTCCAGTCTGGCCAAACACCGGAGGATCCATACGGGGGAGAAACCATATAAGTGTTCCATGTGTTTGAAGGATTTCAAACAAACAGGACACCTCATCACACACATGAGGATGCACACGGGAGAGAAGCCCTACCATGTTCCGTGTTTCCAAGGATTTTCCTAAGTGTGCCCGGGTGAAACACACTAGAGTCCACACCGGCAAAAGCCCTCCAGTTTTCTGAGTTTTTGCAAACCTTCCCTCACCATACTCCCGGGGCCCAACACACTCCTGCACCAGGGCGGGCCCCCCTTTAAGGGTTCCGAATCCCTGAAAGATTTCTCCAGCAAGGCAACACGGTTAAACCAATCAAAGCCCACACTGAAGAAACCCTACCCCTTTCCATGTGCTCCAAAGGGCTTTTCACCAAATCTGGCTTGACAACAACTCAAAAAAGCCACGGCGGGGGAAAGCCTCCCATGTTCCGGGTGCCACAAGGGGCTTTCCTTACAAAAAAATCTTGTGAACACATAAAGACCTTTCTCAGAAATTCTCAGAAATATTCAGTGTCAAAAGGAGTTCGGGAAAATTAGTCGGTCGCAAATAAACTGTCAGACGTAGTCGATGGAAACAGTGTCATAGCGAGGGAACTACGCTGTCAGTGAAAAATGAAAATACAGCTGTCAGGTGAGTGGAACAGAACTCGGCTTGGAAACCCGGGGGAACAGATACAGCTGTCAGATCTTTTTGGACAGAAATACAGCTAAGCTAAACAAGCTGTACAGTATCTTGCAAACCCCTTCCTTTTGCAATTTAAAAAGTGCATCAGAAAATATATTCTCCCCAAATATTCAGTGTCTAAATTATAACGTGTCTCACAACGGAAGAAGGGGGTCCAGTAGCGCCCAGTGAAGAGGCCAGAGTATGACTTGCCCCCTAAAACCACATAAAAGTACACACAGTCCTTTCCCAGCTATCCCATTCTCATTTTGGGCAATGCAGCAACCGGGAAAAAAACCAGAAATTCAGAACCCGAAACCCCGGGTAACCAGAAATTTTAAGTCATTCCTGATATCAGAGTACTACCGGTTAAAAAGCCAGGAACCCCCCTAAATACAACACTAAAATTTTATAGGTGGAAAAAACTCTCTATTTTTCGGGGACCATCAGCCTATTTCCCCAATAAAATCTTCGCTTTACCCCAAGAATATAAACGGGAAACACCCCTCTATGCAAACCACCACAAATGGAAGAGAGGGGTAGCTCTTGGCCTCTCATGTTGCGACTTTGTCGGGGGTTTTGCAGTGTTGCAAGAATGAGCTAGAAAGTGTCACTGATTTCTGCAACCTTAAAAAGCTCCGATGAAGTTGTTGTTGAAAGGAAACGCCCCAAAGCTATTTTTCAATCCCCTGTGGGTTGGTTTTTAAATAGGTGTTTTGCCCTTTGTTCCCCTCCGGGGGGAACTGACTGCTTGTTTCCCACAGGCCCCGGGGGTTTGGTCTTCCTTGATGCGGGAAAAAAATTTTCCTTTTTAATTTTAGGGATAATTATAATTACTGTTAAATTACAGGCATTATATAATTTATATTATATATATAATATAATATATATATATATAATAAATATATATAATATATATAAAATTATATATATTAATGTAGATAAATATAATTTATATATATATATATATTATATTTATAATATATATTTAAAAATAATATTTTTATATAAATATATATATATGTAGATATTTTAAATTAATTTAAAAATTATTATATATTATATAATATAAAATTTTATATAAAATATAATATATAATATATATACATATTTTTATCATAATAATTTATTAATATTTATATATAAATTTTTTTTTTCAACATTTGGCCGCCCCCCCGAGCAGGGTGCCCAAAAAAAGAAAGAAACCCCCCAAAAAGAAAATGTTTTTCATCTCATTCAACACTTTCACCACACTCACACATTTTTTCCCCTGTTTTTGCAGAGGTGCTCAGAATAAAAAAATTTTGAAGCTTTTGTATAAAAATACACAACAATCCCTCCAAAACCCCAAAACCCAATCCCTCCTTTTAAAATGCAGGCATTGTACTTCCCCTTTCCAGGACTCAAGTCTGGGCTATATGAAAATAACCCTTTCCCCCAAAACCCCTTTACTAAATATTACCAAACCCCTTTCCTGAATCCCTTCATAAAATTACCCTGCTCACATCCCAACAGATCGTCAGGTCCCAAATACCATTTGTCCCATTCACTCCCATCTAAAACCCCCACGCACGCTTGCGGAAGTCAAACCCCTTGCCCAAAAACCCCTTTACCCCCCCCTTCCAACCCTTTTGAGGCGACCCCCACCTCGCCCCTTCCTTCCCCATGATTTATATGCTTCCATATCTTTTTACTTTGATCCCTTCTCCCTAAATGACAACCACCCAACAACCCCTCTTTTGCCCCCTGACCCAAAATTTATTAACCCACACCTTTTCCCCAATTTCCACACTCCGAATTTTTGCAAAATTTACACCCACATTGCCCCTTTAACAGGGGCATCTCCCCGCCCCCAACCGTCTCCCCCCTTGCATTTACCCCCAAGCTTCACACCCTAAAGATGTTTGGACACATACTTTCATACATTCCCCTTCTATCCCCCCATAATAAAAATTTTTTTACTCCCCATAACCTCAAAACGCCACTCACCTTTTTTTTCCCCCACAATTCATTTAACCTCATCTTTCATAAATCCATCCCCACAAAGTCAGCCCAATATCTGAAACATTCACTCTTCCCTATCCTCCCCAATTTGAATCCAATTTTTTTTTTATCTAAATCATTTGAAGCCTCATACCTTACTCTTTTCTATGTTCACTTTCAAATTTTTACTTTTTCACACATTCCCCAAAATATCCATAACCTTTGCAATTTTTCTTTGAATCTCCCCTAAGCCAGTATCATCAGCAAAAAGTAAATGTGTTTAATTCCCCTTTGAATTTGATTCCCCCTAATTTAATCCCCCCCTCCCCGAACACCCAGCATTTCTTCTTTTACAACCCCTCAAAATATATTAAACAACCTGGGGGACATTCACCCCTGCTAAGAACCCACTTTTTACCGGGGTATTCTCCTTCTCTTTTACACACCCTAACCTACCTCACTATCCCCTAAAAACTCTTTACGATTTAAAAACTTACCATATTCCCAATACTTTCAACTTGCCCCCTTGCTCCTCTATCACTCTGTCATAGCCTTTTCTAAATCCCTAAATGGGAATAAAAACTTCCCTACTTAGGGGTGGTGGACCCGGTGTTTACAGTGAAACATAATGAACGTATTTAGATAAGGCAAAAAGGGGCTTTTTGGCATTTAGGATTTGGAAAAGGCATATGCAGGGGGATAGGGGGGCGTGTGGCAGATGTTGCAAGTGTAAAGGTGTAGGAGGTAGGGTTACTGAAAGAGTGAAGATTTTTTTACGAGGTAGTGGCTCAATTAGAGTATGTAGGAAAGAGGGAAATTTTTTCCCCAGAAAAAGTGGGCCTTAGAAAGGATGTGGATTCACCGTGTTGTTTAATATATTAAGATGGGGTTGTAAGAGAAGTAAATGCGAGGGTCTTGGCAAGAGGCGTGGAGTTAAAAGATAAAAAATCACACACAAAAGTGGGAGTTGTCACAGCTGCTCTTTGCTGATGACACTGTCCTCTTGGGGAAAATTCTGAAGAGAAGTTGCAGAGATTGGTGGATGAATTTGGTAGGGTGTGCAAAAGAAGAAAATTAAAGGTGAATACAGGAAAGAGAAAGGTTATGGGGAAATAACAAAAAGATTAGGTGATGAAAGATTGAATATCAGATTGGAGGGAGAGAGTATGGAGGGGGTGAACGTATTCAGATATTTGGGAGTGGACGTGTCAGCGGATGGGTCTATGAAAGATGAGGTGAATCATAGAATTGATGAGGGAAAAAGAGTGAGTGGTGCACTTAGGAGTCTGTGGAGACAAAGACCTTTGTCCTTGGAGGCAAAGAGGGGAATGTATGAGAGTATAGTTTTACCAACGCTCTTATATGGGTGTGAAGCGTGGGTGATGAATGTTGCAGCGGGAGAAGGCTGGAGGCAGTGGAGATGTCATGTCTGAGGGCAATGTGTGGTGTGAATATAATGCAGAGAATTCGTAGTTGGAAGTTAGGGAGGAGGTGCGGGATTACCAAAATGTTGTCCACAGGGCGAGGAAGGGTTGTTGGGTGGTTCGGACATGTAGAGAGAATGGAGCAAAACAGAATGACTTAAAGAGTGTATCAGTCTGTAGTGGAAGGAAGGCGGGGTAGGGGTCGGCCTAGGAAAGGTTGGAGGGAGGGGGTAAGGAGGTTTTGTGGTGCGAGGGGCTTGGACTTCCAGCAGGCATGCGTGAGCGTGTTTTGATAGGAGTGAATGGAGACAAATGGTTTTTAATATTTGACGTGCGTTGGAGTGGGGAGCAAAGTAACATTTTGAAGGGATTCAGGGAAACGGGCAGGCCGGACTTGAGTCCTGGGATGGGAAGTACAGTGCCTGCACTCTGAAGGAGGGGTGTTAATGTTGCAGTTTAAAAACTGTAGTGTAAAGCCCCCCTTCTGGCAAGACAGTGATGGAGTGAATGATTGGTGAAATTTTTTTTCTTTTTCGGGCCACCCTGCCTTGGTGGGAATCGGCCAGTGTGATAATAAAAAAAAAATAATATTATGCTTCAATGTAAACACTTGATCACACATCCCTACCCACTCTGAAGCTTCCCTGCTCATCCGCAATCCTCATTCTGTCTTACCTCTAATTCTTTCAATTTATAACCCTACCGTATACTTTCCTGGTATGCTCAGTAAACTTATTCCTCTATAATTTTTACAATCTCTTTTGTCCCCTTTCCCTTTATATTTAAAAGGGGGTATTTCATGCCTCTCCGCCAATCCCTAGGTACCTTCCCCTCTTTCATACATTTATTAAACAAAAGTACCAACCTCCAACACTATATCCCCCCTGCTTTTAAACTTTTTTGTCATGATCCCATCAGTTCCAGCTGCTTTACCCCTTTCATTCTACGTAATGCCTCACGTACCTCCACCACACTTACATTCTGCTCTTCTCACTCCTAAAAGATGGTATACCTCCCTGGCTAGTGCAGTGAAATTACCGCCCCCTTTCTTCCTCAACA